CAGAGATCATTCATACCAGAGACTGAAGGATTAGCTGAAGAACCAGCAAAATGCATACCAGAGAGTTGTGCGGCGGATGTAGAGGTGATATGTTGAAAAGCATCAAGTTGACGGCGAAGACTTTCAATAGCTTGAATAGTAGAGTCTGAAGTAGTAGAAGGTATAGCATTGGCCAACAATCCTGGTGTACGAGAGGGTTGAGACTGAGGGGGTCGCCGACCACGTCCAGTACCTGAGGAACGTAACTCAGGATGAAGCTTGAAGCATGTCTCAATGCGGTGTCCTTCCTTCTTACAATATTTGCAAGAGAGCTTAGATCGAGCCTGTGGAGAGGGAGCCTGTGGAGAAGTATAATTCATAACAGGAGCAGTGACAGGTACAGACAAAACAGTCTCGAGTGAAGAGGTAGGAGTGTCTGTTGACAAATTGAGTCGTGCTGTCTGCTGCCGGGTCTCATAAGCAGTGAGAGCTCCCATAACTGAGGCCAAAGTCGGAAATTGAGGCTGGTGAAGTAGTTGATCAGCCATAGTTGAATATTCAGGAAGGGACTGAAACAATTGATGCACCTCATGCCGTTCGTACCAGGCTAGCCAGTCTTCATATGTGGAATTACGTCCAGGAAGCATGGAGCGTAACTCTGTCCAAAAAGCTTGCATTTGTCCAAAATGGGACTGCAGAGATGAACTACCTTTGCGTTGTAGAGAAATGCGTTGCAGAAGATATGCCTCCCGTGCACCCGAGCACTCAGTGAAACGCTCAGTGAGACGAGTCCACATGGCCTGAGCAGAGGGAAGCGAGCCAATCTCGACAGTGAGACCAGAGCCAACACAGCGAGTGAGATAATCCATAACACGAAATTCCTGCAATTGCCACTCTGAACTCTCCTTGACATAGAGAGCACGAGCAGTCTGAAGATCGACATCACCACTGCCAGAGGCAATAGTACTGGATGAAGCAACAGTGCTGATGGACGGTGGAACTGGTCCCGTACTGGTGAGATGATCAAGCAAACCAGCGCCACGCAAGGCATTGGTGACAATGGTGGACCACCCTGCCCAGTCACTTTGATCATTGAGGGGCAAAGGTGGTTTGGGAATCTTCTCTGAAGGAGCCATAACAGCAATCTTGAGACGTTAAGATGTCGAGATGCTGTTACTAATGTCGTTCGTTTGAGGCCGAGAGACGGCTTGAAACGACGATGCCGTTAATTTGAGACCGAGAGACGGTCGAATGAAACCCGAAGGTTTAAAATAGAACCCGAAGGTTAGAATGAAACCCGAAGGTTTAAAATAGAACCCGAAGGTTAGAATGAAACCCGAAGGTTTAAAATAGAACCCGAAGGTTAGAATGAAACCCGAAGGTTTAAAATAGAACCCGAAGGTTAAACGAGAACGCGAAACGCGTTAAGAGGCCGCAAAACGACAAGGCCAAAATATCTGGCAGATGAACGCCAAATAATTAAAAATAAAAATAAAAAAAATAAAACATTAAACGGCTGCAAAGCAATAAGGCCAAGATTTGGCAAAAGAACGCAAAAGCGTTAAAAATTTTATTGAAAGGGAAATAGCCCTAGCTCTGATACCATGTTAAAGTAAGAGAGAGAGAGAGAATCTTGGGTAAATTTCCCTTGAATTGAATATTGAGTGTGCACATATATTTATACAAGTAGAGGAGTGTGAGGTTTGTTCTCCCAAGCAATGTGGGACTAAAACCCACTACAATACACTATTATCAACATCGCAAAAACCCGAAAACCACCAAATGCATCAAAGGGAATCACACACAAGATTTAACGTGGAAAACCCTCAATGTGGAAAAACCATAAGACCGAAAACAATCCACTATCACCTCCAAATTATAATACCTTTGAACCCGGTTACACCATCCGTTAAACTCTGATTACAAGAATGTTATATCTCTCCCCACTACTACAAAAGCTTCTTATAGTCATGGTTCCAACCGTTGCTTATAGGTCTCTTAGTAATGGTATAGACCGTTTCTAAAACATTAACAACGGTTAAAACCGTTGTAAATAATCCGTTACTATTAAAGCCGTTGCAGTTAGCTTATTGTAACGATCTAAACCCGTTGCAAATATAACAACAATTGCTATTAGATTAATTTTTATAAAATAATAAAAAATCCACGTCAGCAAATTCTAATCGTTGCTATAGTCTATTAACAACAAAAGACAACCGTTACTATAAGATTTAATATTATTTTTTTAAAAATAAAATATTCGCATCAACAAAATCCAAACCACCGCTAAGGTATATTAACAACATAAAATCATTGCTTTAGGGTATTAAAAAGATATTTTCACCAAATTATTATTGCTTATTCTCTCATCCAACTGTAGCAATGATATTCATCTATTTCTAATCATTTATTTCAATACATGATATCATTCAAATGAAATAAATAATTATCATCATAAATAAGAAATTAACTTAATCAATTAAAAAAATAATGCGTGTTCGATACAAGCTTTGTCAATAAATTCAATGAAGTGATAATCAACTATAAAACTTTGAGTTTAGACCATTTACAATGTTCACAACTTCTCCACATCCTACAACTCTTAACTGAAATGCAAATCTAATAAATAAAAATATATTCAAAGACCTATGACAGTGAAGCAATAAAGCATGAATAATTAGAATTTGAATGACAAAGATCATGGCGAGCACATAAATTATCAAGACGAGTTCTTCCTTCATGAGTCTCTCCCAATGCTTTATCTCCTTCCAACTGATTCTATCCAAAATATTATCCCCTCCACCATCCATCACCTCACAACCTTCATCCTGCCACAAACAATGGAAACTTAGAAATAGAAAAACAGAACATTTAAGCCTCTACAAATTAATATTTGGTTTAGTGTAGTAGCTAGCATCAGCAAACACTTTAAAACATGAAGCAATTTAAACATGAATCAATTTAAAACATGATTCGGTTTACTGTAGCATCTAGCAGCAACCAATATTAACTTGTACAGTATAACATGTTTATTGTAGAACAGTACATTGAAGGAACTACAAGTAAATGAACATACCTCAAAGATGCTTGTTGCCCAATCTCTCCCACGTAAGCTAGACTTTCTTCGTTAATTACAGCTGTTCAACTTGTGCACGTATTGCCAATATCTAGCACAAACCAACATGTGGTAAATATCAGTAATCAGGTGAGCATTTCATATAGAAGAAAAGAGCAAAGCTAGGAACCTGAATCATTTCAATGGGGCCATAAGTTTTTATCCGAATTGTCACCAGTCGGTCTAAAAGATCTATAGGTATGCCATGTGGACTGGTCATATCAGTTCTCCCGACAACAACAAAAAAGGATAACATAAATATTTTAAAAGAAAAAGAGAAGAATTTCTGATGAGTTTTACAATGATTTCTATGCACACAAGTAAACAGAAGCTGTCACAAGCTAATTATGGCAACAGTAGTACTGCTATCTGATACTTCCTTTCCAACTTGTCAAGTTCAATTAGGCGAAGAAAAATCTCAATTCACCGAAGCCAAAGATATATAACAAATAAGTTATGGATGCTTATTTGGATACTAACTAAACATTATACACATTGCAAATTCATACCTCACATTGCATATTCCTCTGTTTGTAGCAAATATTACTATAGGTGATATCGAGCTCTCTAGAGCATGATTTAGGTACGAAAAGCATTCCATGTCTAGCATATGAACCAACAGGTGTAAAAATATAATTCTTGATACTAGACCTTTCCAAAACAAAAGCAATGGGAACATCGTAAGAGAAATGTACCTCGTCAATAAATAGCACCCTAGGGACAAGCTTCGCTATTCCTTCATCAATATACATGTTAACCACCTGCCACAAATGCATCTTTTAGCTACAATTAGGTAATTACGATGGCATTATTTGGTATTAACTATTTCCTTTCCCAATGAAGACTTTATAATCCTCTCATAATGTTAGGTGTAATCTGAAACTAGATGCCATAAAGACCAGAATAAAAAGAGAAGTGAATTTAAAAGCATATGTACAAAGACAAACATAATACCTTATTAATTTCTTATCGTAGTTTGTCAGTGATTTTAGTCTTCCTAGGTTTCATCATCTGACCCATAAGGGATAATATATCATGTCCACCTTGTGGGTGGGCATTTGCTGTATCAAGGTCATGCAGATAAATAAACGTAACTTAAAACTTATACATTAAGTATTATATCATGTAGGTAAATAAACGTAACTTGAAAACTTATACATTTTAACAGACATATCATTCGGCCCTTTCATTGTTTAAAACTAGCCCTACAAAGTGGTGTCAGTTCCAAGAGCAGCAATGAAGGAAACTATTTTTGGCTTCAGAGTTTTTTTTTTTTTTTTGGAGAAACCTAAACGTGTAATGGAGAAAAGAATGACATGAAAGTCGTCAATGAAAATTCAAAGAAGAAACTACCTTAATCTTTTGCCCTGAGCTACTAATCAAAGATCACAATAGATGTAAGAATAAAAAAGCAAAAAACTTTTCTAAAGTGTGCAACTCTATGAACTTGCTTCTAGTATGTAATCACATTTCTGCTATAACTATAAAAAGACTTCACATGAATGATCATGAAATTTGCATGTGTGTGCAATCCCATTAGTTATATGATTTTCATGAGAAGGTATTTACTACAAGTGCACATACATAAACTTCGAAAATGTATTATTTACGATGAGAGCTCATGTGCATTGCACATGTTGTATTTCCAGTCAGTGCACAATTCAACATACAAGAGACTTTATAAAAATAACTCATAAGACATTATTTGTTTGTGAATTCATATCAGAGACATATCGAAAGCTACAAAGTCTCCTATAGCTTTGTTTGCAATGAACACCATATGTTTATTTGATAGGTACATAGTTGCCTTTGTTTTCACATGACCACCATGGGCTTTATGAAAATGATAATAATGGAGCATAATTGTGAGCACTCCATCATTATGTGATGAATTCCAAATTACAAAATGCAATCTATATTAAAAGAGATATCCTTTCTTGCAAAACGAATTCAAGGATTTGCAGACATAACACAACAATCACTCATTGAGTATATAGCTGCTTCTAATAAACTTCTATATTAAAAGAAGTCTTTCTACATCTTTTGTTATGGTCTCTTGGTTCTGGTGAAAAAATCAGGTTTTGGGAGGACAGATGGATTGGTGTTAATAGTCTATCAAGTTTATTTCCATCCTTATACAGTTTAATCTTTTCCAGCAATGTCTCCATTCGTAGTCAAGGACACTACCTCAATAATCTATGGCATTGGCATCCTCTATTGAAACGAAGCATTACAACTGATTCTCAATATGACAAATTTCATCTCTTGAATCTTATCAATCAACAAAGTATCACTAATCAGCCTGATAACCCTAGATGGTCTCTTACAGCAAATGGCTCTTTTACTGTTAAATCATTTTATGATTTCCTGAACTCTAGAGGGATCAAATATGCTTTCTACAAAGTGGCGTGGAATCTCATTCTACCAAGCAAGATACAAATTTTCACTTGGCTTTTATCTTTGAACCGCCTACATACCAAAGATAATCTCATCAAGAAAGGGTGGCAAGGTGATTCAAACTATATTTTTTGTGGTACACAGGCTGAAACTAAAAATCACATCTTCTTCTCATGCAATACAGCTAAGTCAATCTGGATTCATTTTGGTAACTATTTTCTACCATTCATTTGGCCATCATCTCTTGAAGAACTTCTGATTTCTGTTACATCTCTACGTAAACTGGAAGGCATTATATGGCGCACTCTTTTCTCTGCAGTCTGCTGGTCTATATGGATTTCAAGAAATAAGTTTATCTTTGAACAAAAATCTTTCTCTGCTGAATCAATTATTAACCTTTCAATTCTTGCTTTGCAAGACTGGGCAGGATCGGGAACAAGGAAGGAAGCTGTTCAGTTAGCAAAAATATTGGAAGACAAGCCAATCCCACGTTGCAGCGGCTAAATCTTTTGATCTGTTTTCCAGTTAGCAAAAATATTGGAAGACAAGCCAATCCCACGTTGCAGCGGCTAAATCTTTTGATCTGTTTTCAGATGTCTTGTAAATACTTTTGGTGGTGTATTTTTGGTTTTCCAATTGATCTATAGAAAATTTAATTTCTCTTTTCTATATGTATGGCCGGCTTTGGTTCTCTTCTATATCCATGTCAACGATGAATGACGGCAAGGCCCTCTCTTCATCTTCATGGATATTTGAGAGAAAAAGGTTATACATCAATAGATAAGAGAAATTAAGTTTTCTATCTATCAATCAACGGATACAGTTCGTATCCATTTTTTGTAAAGATACTCTTTTATTTTAGTTAATGAACAGGGTATATCCCTTGTTTTTCCATCAAAAAGAAGTGCAATAGCTAACAATAATTTTGAAAGTATCAACTTGTAGTTTGTCAAAGAAACCTTTTAGCTTGCTAAAGCAAACATCAATATACTTCCAAATGCCCAAAAGAACAATAATGAAAGTTACTACCAAAACAAAACTTTATAACAAATGCATCATGATATCAAAGTTTACAAATAAAACTAATTAATCAGGTGATCCAGGTCTCATTGACTGAACTGCAAGTTAACCATAATCATTTGTATACCAACATGAAAAACTACACAATTAAAAGCTATGTCATCCTAGGTCCCGTTGTCAACTCTGAGATGCTATTATCTTATCAATATTTTACATATTTAATCATTGTACTAGATTGTCACGCCCCGCTTCCCAAAATACTGGGAAATCAGAACGTGAACAAGTCCGCGACGTATTCGATTGGAGAGAAATATTAATCCAAGTCATTTTGTTTCTTTTGCTTCTCTAATCAGATACGTAAGCGTCAACACATAAATCTCAATCACAGGTCCGCCGCATCACAAAGCAAGAATAGAAAGACAATCCAGAATAAGAAATAAACCATATCATCCATAGTGAATCATCCCAGACATAAAATATGGGTTTCAATCATCCTTACATACAACAACAGTTCAACTAGGAAATAAGACATACATAGTCCATAAAAGGAAATACTAACAAAAATACCAAATCTGTCACCAAACTAAAGAAAATACTGCTCAAAGAGTGCCTATTAGCACTACAGAAAAGAAAATGCGTCTAGGCTTCAGTTTGTTCTTCCACTCCATCAGAAGGACATTCCGGCACTGAGCATACACTGGTTCGGCGGCATCATCGAACTTGACCATGTTCGCTACCTTAAGTCCTGACGCACAAACTCTACGAGATAAAGCAGGTGTACGTCAGTGTGCATGGCGCACGGAATATCTCACATGAAACAAATAAAACGGTCTAATGATTCCATGCTATGCATAATATAATCAATAACAAAAAGATAATTGAACATGCAACTAAATGTAATGGTAAGCATTAATATCTAATGATGAATACAGGACTGGGTCGATACTCAACGCAGACGCTAAATCTAGTGCAGTCCAGCATCTGCACACAAGAGTCAAGCTCCTATCATCGGATAACTGGAGCTGTTACAAATCCGCCTACGTGCATCCCAATACGCTACACCGATGCGGTCAGAAGGACTACACGCAATGCCCGTATTTCGTTGGCCTGGCTCCGAACACTCAAGCAGAACTCGGGTGGAACTACACAAATTCCACTGGGACTAAAGGTGACTAACGAATTCACTTTAGCCATCAAACAAGCGGCCAGTGACTAAGCACGAATTTCACGTGGCATGCGGAGTCACTGGAATGATACATTCAATCGCAGTATATCCGATCAACAATGAACCATTTAACTTCCCATCTCCAACTACTCTCGTTTTTCATACAGTCAACTAGCAAACACATGTCTTTAGGTCTTATTCATGTCCACAGCAGTCACTATAGTCAATAAAACTCGCTAACGGTTTCTACATCACAACGAAGGAACAATCAATGCAACTACATCCATGTTTTTACCAATATATCATAGCAGTATCAGATATCAAGACTAAGAATCTTGAATCATAAAATTTTTCTAAAATATCTTTTGAAATAATAAAGTTATTTACTTAAAAAAAATCCCTTATTTCAAAATAAGTTATTTTCTTCAGCTATATCAATTCTAAAAATAATCTTTAAACAAAAATTCATAAATTCACAAATTAAAAGTAATCTCTTTTAAAGATAAATTTTTTATTAAGTTCAAAATCAGTCTATTTTCCGCAAAAATAATTTCTTTTTAAAAATATTGTCATTCTATAAATGATTTCTTCCAGATTACTCCCAAATAATTTCTAAAAATTCATATCAAATTATCCTAAAATGATTCTTTTCTAAGAATAATTCCTTTTAAATTATTATAATCATTATCCTAAAAAATGATTGTTGTCCTCACATAAATTCTTTTAATTAGCTATAAGTTCCAAAAATAATTCCACGCTAGCCAAAATAAATATCTTTTAATTTGTCATAATTAATTCTTAAAAATACTTAATTATCATATTATTATGATTTATCTAAAATGACATTCATCAAACAATCCCGCACGGCAAGATAATATTGACACATCTACAAATTATAGATTATTCATACATAAATACAAAAATTCAGTTTTGAGCAAGTGAGATCTTGCTTATTCTTTCTT